CCGCAGCCTGAGTCTGCTGAACGTGACCAATCTTTCCTATTGGTTGACGTCACCCGCTCTACCAATAGGAGAGCACAAAACGCCATTAATCCAACCCAGGTTGGTGCAAACCTGGTCGGGCCGAAAACGCTATTAGATACGGATCGCGCAGTCCATTCTCTATGTCTTTGGTTGGCATGGTGATGGATGTAAATCCTGTAAATAAGGTATGCAACATTCAATGCAAAGCGTAAAATAATAGTTAAATATTCACAAAACATTGAAGGGTGAGTTTACTAACCTCATTCTACAGCAGTCGACAGGAGTCGATGTTAAGTAAAAATTGATTCAATCCAGTTTCTGTTTACTTAATCATTCCATTTCGTTTACTGAGATGATCGATACTTTTATTACTTTGGAGCGATCATGTAAAGAAATAATTTCTTAAGAGTATCTTATTAAGCTAAATTAAACAATTAAAATCTTTTCATTGCTATATAAATCGCCCCGTGTACGATTTATTCCAGATTCCTAAGGTCATTAAAGATTACTGGTGAGATTCAGGAACAAATTATGTAAGATTCTTATATGATCATGTACGTTCATTTAGTAATCTTGATTGATCACATACAATTCTTTTAAGATCTGGTACAAAAAACTTACAAGAATTTTCAACAGGGTAGAAATACAGAGACAAGTCAGAGACAAATATAGTTGAAAATACTTTCAATGATGGATATCATGGAGCACTATTTTGGGCTTCTTTTGATAATGATGTACATACTAAAAGCTCTAATGAGGAACCGTCAAATGTCATAAACGAGATAGACTCGTATATATATCTTAGATGTATATCTTAAGAGAAACATGAATCCTTTGGAATATTGGAAAATTAACGTTGCAAAATATCTGTTTTTATCAAAATTGGCTAAAAAGTTTTTACATGTTTCTGCAACTTCAGTTCCTTCAGAGCGAGTATTCTCTATAACAGAAATTATTCTAAATAAAAGGAGAAATAGATTTGACAATAACACTAAATAAAATTTTGTTTCTACGTAATTCATATATGATTCTTGTTTAACAATAAATCATTGACAATAATAAATAAATAGTTTATTATCTTATTTTTATATTTGTACAATATATTTATTTAATACATTTATTTAATGTATTATATGATGTATAATGCTTTTGATGTATTATAATTATTTATATTTATTTAATATCTTTTACTCTTTCTCTGAAATTAAACTAAAATTAATTTAAAATTTATTAAAACATTCAAAATTTTTCAAGTCATTCAAGTCAACTTTTTAAGATATTCAAAACCTTCAAGACTTTTAAGATTGTATAATTTCAAATTATATTTAAATTAATTCAAATTTTTCATGATTTATTCGAACTAATTCAAAGCATCTTGATTTCTATCACTATACATACATATAATACATGTAGCTTTTGTACGTACATTGTATTAAATATAATATATTGTTGTAACAAGGAGCTATAATTATATCTCTAAATACAAAACAACAATGTACTATGAATTCTTATACAGCTTATTTAATAAAACTAGGAATTTGTGATATATGTATTATTAAAATAATAGTTTATTATTTTTTAAATATAAAATAGATATATTTAAACTATAGTACATACACTCACATTTTTAATATAATATTAATAATATAATAATAGTAATAATAATTTTTTCTTAACAAACAATCGGTGAATTATAAAAAACATAGTCAATGGCGATGTTTCTCATATGCTTCCATCTTCAAATGATTTAAAAACGTGAATTATTTCTGAAAAACTGCAAACCTTAAAGCGCATCGATCACTTGATACAAGTCACAGTTTATCACAAATATTCCCGATGGAATGGCTGCTAGATTTAGAATAAAAAAAGGAGATGCAAAAGAAGGAAGAAGATGGTTGTTCTGAACATTAATATCTTGGGAAATTGAGCAGACAAGAGTAAATACTCTGACATTTAAACATTTAGTGTGACAGTGTCATGACAGGTAATAAAAGCACAAATTCTTTCATCAATCTCTTGAATCGGACTGGGCAGACTTGGTAGACACAGATCTATCAAGTCAAATTCGATTACGGATACGCGTAAGCTGAAAAGAAATCTAACTAAAGAGTTGAAAGAGTTCAAATTAATATGCTTATAGAATAGTGATGTTCAATCTGCAGCCCGTGAATTGTTTTATGGACCGCTATCTCATAGTCGAACATATAAAATCTAAAATACTTTTTATCACTATATTTTAAAGCTCGTTTTAGCAGAGCAGTAATATAATAAAAAGAAAGAAGTCTAATACGATCAATTAAAGGGCATCTTAAAATCGTCTATTGTATTACCTATATTATTTTTCAAAGAAGTATTTTTCTAACCTTTACAGATTTAAAAATCCTTTTTCTCACAATTAATGTATAAACACAGTAATGTAGTTCAAACCGGTTGACTTTACGCCAAAAAACGAAAAAAAGTTGGAGAATTACAGTTTTGTTATCGATTTCTGGTGTCGATGTAATAATATTTAAACAACAGCTAAAAAAGGGCAATTAAGAGCCTTAAACGCAGTAATTAGTGCGAATCAAAAGTATAAATATATTTCTAGTTGATATTCAATCTGTAGTATACAAATCTGAACGTTTCGGCAGTCTCCATTCATAACAATAAATTAATCAGTTCGCAATATTGAAGCCATCACACAATTTGACTTTGTTTGTGACACTGCGAATGTTAGTTTCTTACGAAGAATAAGATTATTTCGATTTCATTAATATTTTTAATTTACTGAATTTATAATGTTGGTTGGTTATGGTGTGCAGAGCTCGCATTTAGTTAATTAGCTAACTAACGGTTACATACTCTCCAGACGTGGCAATCTGAGAGACTTACTTACTGCATTCCATGGCTTCAATATTGCAAACCAATTAATTTATTGTTATGAATGGAGACTGCTGAAGATGGCTTGAAGATAGCCGAAACGTTCAGATTTGTATACTACAGATTGAATATCAACTAGAAATATATTTATACTTTTGATTCGTACTAATTACTGCATTTAAAGCTCTTAATTGCCCTTTTTTAGTTGTTGTTTATTTGTTTATATTTCAAGAGCCCAATTGGAATCTTTTAATTTTGTAATAATATTTAATTATTTTATTGTATATACATGTAAGTTTTCTACTTTGTGCATATTATAAAACAAAAATCTTGGTTTGGGCTAAAGATTACATGAACGAACAATGTTGAGTTGTTAAAATTGGATTTATAGGTATATAATATTAGTTGGAACGATTAATTGGAAAATTTGTACGTGTGCATGCGATATTGATGTAGTAGTATGTAGTGATGTGATGTGTCAATAATACGTAAATTGTATGTGTCATATTGATTCGATAAAACACAGACGACTATAAGATTCCTTCTAAATATCATAGGTACTGTTTTTAAATCCCAGAATCTCTTTAGCCAAAAAATAAATAAATCAAAATTAAAATCAACTAACACAAAGTACAGGACTCTTAGAATTTCAAAAAACAATACAGAGGTGTGAAAGATACATCAATTCTTTGTGTGATGTACATTCGTTTGTGGCCAATAGATTTGAAGTAATATCATCTATATCAATATGAAAACCTTAATCTAAAGTAATATTTTGACTACATATTTGTCACGAGTATCTGAAGATGGCTCAATGAAGAGGCCGAAACATGTAATACGTATTTTTATCGAATTTTTAGACGTTTAATATATTATGTTATAGAACTTATATACATGCTTAATTACGTTGATTCTTATGTGTCCTTCACATCTCTGCATTGTTTTTTAATTAAAAATTGTAATTAAATGAAGTTCATAACCGGTAGACCATTAGAAGCTCGCTCGCTTCCCCCCTCTCTCTCCCTCCCTCCCCCCTCTCTCTCTCTCTCTCACAGTTATTAAAATAAAAAAATCACATATACACAAAAACATTGCCCACACAAACGTATATATCACCAGTTAATATTAATTAGATAAAAGGAAAAAAATTAAGTGTTAAATGCATAATATAAGATATAAAACGCGTTGCATATTTGTTACCTTGTTAAAAAATGTAATCCTTTTCTCGAACCGTGACATGAGAAAGAATTATGTTCGGGACAGTCAAAATGTTAAAATCTCATCAGAAATTAAGATCTTAAACTCTCAGGTTAGAAGAACGTTAAAAAAATATTGAAAATGTCATATTGAAAAGAATATGCTATATACATTTACCGATATTCGATCGTTGTAATTGCAAGCAGTTTGTCCTCTCACAGGACTAATGTGTTTGAGCTATACATGTATGTATAATAAAACTACAGTAAAACACCAGTCTGCAAGAATAGTTACAATAACAATTAATATGCAATGCGTTTTACATTTTATACGTTTGACACACTTATTTTTTTTCTTCCTTTTAACTAATTAATTAATTAATAATATATGTAGATATACATTTGTTTGAATAATGTTTTTGTGATCGTATTTTTTTGTTTTAATAACTTAGCTTTTAATATTCTATACCGATTATTTTATATATTTATTTATTTTTTGGCTGAAGAAGGGATTTTGTGAATTTGAAACGATCCCTATTTTAGAAAGTTTATTTTTACCCTTAACTTATATTATACTTGTTAATTACTCATATTGGCCTTCTTTTTTTTACTATATTGTTTTTTATAAATTAAATAAACATTACACGGTTCGAAAGATTTTTTAAACCTATTTCTAAAAAATGATCCTTTGGAAATGACTCTTTAGAAAGATTGAATCACTTGTACAGAAGATATTGAGTTTCCAAATCAAATAATTCATGTTGCTAAATGTATAATAGAATATGGTAATAGTGTACATTCAAGAATCTTTGTCTATGTCGTCTCTCCAATCTGATTCCGTCAATTTTAAACTTGACTAGTTCCTTCAAAAAAGTGAGAAAAGTAAAACATTTAATTCTTTTCGATGCGCTCTACATCGCATTTACTCGATACATTCGCGGATGTGGAGAAAGAGTGCCCGATAAGAGTCATCGCTACACCGCGCGTCATTATGTTATAAAAATAGTTATAATCAAGAAATTTCATTGTTTTCATTTTTTCTTTGGCGGAATTTTAGGCGTGATACACTACAAATTTTTCTCTCTGGTATATTTCATGCTCTAATTGACAGCACTCATTCTCCGAAATACGTTTTGTCGAATTTTTAATGTTCAAGATTTTCATGAAATCCATACATTATATTCGATTATTACTATTAATTTAAACAACATCATTGTTCTTTTGAATCGTGTGATGCATACGTACATACAGCGTGTCGATAGATTAACAATAAGACGTAGATTCAATAAGATTATGCTACTGGTATAGATATGATAATGATACAACGGAGATTTTTGTAAGGAGAATGTTAATTTAGGACCATTTTTCGGTCAAAATGAAAAAAAAGTTCCAAGATATACAAATTGTATATCATATTAAACAACTACTCAAGTGGAGTTGAATGATATATCGTTTATCTTGGGGAAACGTCGGGAACATGGGAGCAATCGTAATCAACAAATAAATTTATCATATTTATGCTATTACATTTATTGAAAAAGTAAGATACAAATTGAACAATAAGGATTGTATTATTTCAACATGTTAACGCTTTTTTTTTTGAGAAGAAAAATACGTACATTTTGACGCCATAATTGTATATCGTAATAAGATATATAACTACTGCATTCACTGTGGCACTATTTTGTTGTAATCTCTACTATATACATATATTGAAGGCATAGTAGAAAAAAAATATGCAGGCGTATTATTAGACGCTTTTAACGCTTGTGGAATCATTTTATTCTTGTTGTTTATCCAAAAAACCAAGAGCAAATGATGAGCGTTATAAGCTTCAAGTAGAACGTAACCCTAATAAAACA